GGGGGGGTTAAGTGGATAGGAGGGCTCACTTTCAGCTTCTATGTAAATTGTCAATCTGCACCGCCTGCTATAAATTGTCATAACTTTAAGTGTCCCTTTGTACGAGCCTTTCGCTCGTGGAATCCATATGCTCAAAATAAATAAATCACAGCACAAACAAATTGTACTTACTGTTGCGCTCCAAGTACGCGGGGCACCATTTGCGAAGTAGCACAACCCCTTCTTGATAGAGCTCTTGGGCAGTGCCATTGTAAGGGCAATACTGAGGTTTCTCTTCATCTTCATTACAGACACCACGCCAAACACATGTGTGTTCAGCGGACACAACGTTAGCCTGGAAAAAAAGCAAGCATATTTAGACCACAAAGCATGCACAATCAAAAGGGTTAGAAAATAAAATACAAATGAGAAAAAAAACGTCGCGACCCAGCTGACTAAAGGGACCATTGACTCAAAACAGTACCCTTGTACTTGTACCCCTGTCCAAACCGCCATGAAAACAAGTAAGAGAGTCTGGTTCAAGGGAAAACGATGCACCAGTGAATACTGACAAACAGTCTAAAAATAGGTATGGCAATAAGCCAAGTGTGGTAAAAACAAATCCATGCCTGGCTAAATCAAAACAGGTAACTGAATTTTAAGTACACACTTCTCATATAATAACAGCTAACATCCAACTCTTTCCCTAGGACATTGGCTCTAAGTATCACAAGAGAAAGCCAACTGTTATGCTTGCATGAACATACCCCAACCCCCATCTTTCGATCACTGATCTTACCCCCGCGGCAAGCGGAACGACAACCTTGTCTGATCTGGACAGAGAGTCGGACAGGTAAACAGTAGAGGTCGTAAACGGATTCCGCATTCCAGAGCGGCTGAAAAGCGTCCCTCCCTGAGCTCTTCACCCTTCACGGCAGGAACCCCTAACCTCACTCACAATCTGAAAATGTCCGTGGGAAAGTCGGAAAAAAAAGCGAGTAGCTGCGCCCGCCGCAGCCAGCGAGACGTCTAGGAGACAACATCGCGGCACAACTCTGGACACGGACGGCCCCAAGGTAAGCAGGACAGGCGGGCGCGTTTCCTCCGCGAGGGAAACCGAGGAAAGTTGTCAACCGTAGAGGATCGCGAAGGCAAAGACCGCGCCCATCCCCGACAGGCCAGACACACTCCAGAGAAGAGAGCGGGCATTTCACTCACCTGGAAAGCTAAAAGGGCCTGCAGGCCGAGGAGAAGAAACGGCCATAAGCTGATGGAAGGAAAGGTGTTGACAGTCCGGGAGCGAGCCCCGGATGGAGGATGCGTCATCGCATAGGCCTTGAACACGGGCCGTCTGCGACTCGACTGTGTCGGTCCTCCGACGGCTCCAACGCGCTGGCTCCGCCCTTACAGCGGTCCCCGGGGCGCGAGCAACGACCGCCGAGCAGTCACGCCACTGACAGCCCGAAAAGCACGGGAAAAGCACGGGAAAATGGGGTGAAAAGGAGGCGCCTCGACGACAATATGGCCTCTCGTAACGACCGAGCTGTCGGCTGTCGGGAAACTGGCGCAGCGCAGCAGAAGAACGCTGAAACCGCTTCGCTTTGCGGCCGCGCGGAGCGCTGGCGGCGCCCGTCGCGCCCCACCCAGTCCGAGCCGCGTCCGAAAGAGTCGCGTCGCGCCGTCGCGCGCGCTCTCCACGAGGCCAGCGGGGGCGACAGAGACGGAGCGCGACGGCGAGCCTCCTCGCGCCCCCGCGGCCTTCATCGACTCGGCCCCCGCGGCCCCCGCCGACCCCTCCGCCGCGGTGTCACGTGACGGCGCCCGCCGCGACGCGGGAGCGTTCAAAAACGTCGGGGCAAGAGTCGGCGGCGGTCAAAGGGCGCCGGCCGCGGTGTCGGCCGCGGACGACTCTGACGGCGGCGACGCCCACCTCCCCTCGGTCCCGGCGGGCGCCGTCGCGCACCCGGGAGGCGAGTCGCGGGGGACGCCGTCCGCCGCCGCCGTGGGCCGGGTGGGCGTGGCCGGCGCGGCTCGTGACGTCATCGAGTGCGTCACACCTCAGCCAGCGGCGCGTGCCTCCCAGGACGGCGCCCCTGGCGCCCCTGGCTCGGAGGCGGAGGGACGAAGGGTGGGAAAAAGAAACGGAATGTCTTTGACTCGATGACTTAAGGGGATGTCGAGCCGGTGCAAGAGATGAGGGGGGAGGGGGCAGGGAGGGGGAGAAGCTAGAGCAGCAGTCTCGCGGGCCCTGGGGGCGGCGCGGGGGCGGCCAGGCGACGCGACACCCCACCCACAAAGCCCCCCGGAGGCGGGACATTCAAACACGCCGCACATCGCCTTGGAGCGTCCAGAGCCACATAAAGCGCCAAGTTTTAGGTGCTTCCCCGCGGCTCGCCTGTCACCCTCCCCCTCCCCTCCCCCCACCACCGAAAGTTGTCAATGTTTCAGAGAAACGCATCACGCCACCACCACGCTCACCGCACGCCGCTCGTCTCATCGCGAGATAAGGGTTGAGCTCGTGAACAACAGTCGGCGCGGCACGGGCGGGGCGTGGCGAGGCGGGGCGAGGCGGGGCGAGGCGGGGC